TGTTTGACCTTGAGATTTAATTGCATGCACAACACACACTCCAGCAAGAACCCTGGACTGTCTTCATTCTCTCTCACCTCCGTACCATTCACTTTGCAGAACCCATTAAGCTACCTGTGGATTTTTCAGTAAAATATTAAAGATTGTTTTATATTGAGAACAAATGCTTTGAAGCAAAGCTTCTTCCAAATAAAAGGAAATTGTTTAAAAAGGTACAGTAGAGACTTCTCAGATCTGCATTTTAATCTTTAAATCTTAAAAATATTTACACACACAGTACTCCTGTTAAAGAACTATGCTTAATTTTGATTCTTTTTTTTTTTGTTTGCTAACAAGTTTGCATATTATGCCTTATCCCTTTTTCCCTAATGAGACAGCTTATGCTTTCAAAGTCCCTCAAGCTAGGCAAATCTCTCTACTGCTTCCACTGTTAATAATGAAACTTCATAATTATACAAATCCAAGGTGGCCAATCAGCTTTTCAGGCTAAGCCTTCGGGTACCTCATGCATTATTTATGTGGCACTTGGGCCTGTGAACTCACGTGCTTATATTAGAAGACTAATTAATATTTAATCACACGTACAGAGGGCACATGGAGCTGTGCTAGCCCCTGAAAGAAGTGCAAGTAGAAGTGTGCACAGGTGAATATGTATGTGCGTGATATAATACACGCATACATATGCTAATACAAACACACACACGAAGTATTAGAAATGCTCATCTTAAGCTCTGGGATATATGCATGCAGTTGAAGATGTTGACACACATTGATAAAGACTTATACATCTTCAGCCATGGCTGAGAGACAGCCCCTTTCTCATGCTGAAACCTGCTGAGGTTCTCAAACTAGATTCAAACATATAGGGATTACTGCCAAGGAGCTCCGTTTAGGTGTCTTGACTCTGAAATTCACTCAGAGAACATCCAAGGGCCCGATACTCCACTCACAATGGTATAACTCCATCAGTTTCAAAGGAGTTTCTCCTGATTTCACACTGGTATATAGGCACTGTGACAGGTTGCCCCCCTTAGGACACCATCTGATGTGCTGAGATACTGCTGAGCCTGCCTGTTATGCCAGCCTCGGCTAGGCTGACCAGATAGCAAGTGTCAAAAATCGGGACAGGAGGTGGGGGGTAATAGGTGCCTACATGAGAAAAAGACCCAAAAATCGGGACTGTCCCTATAAAATCGGGACATCTGGTCATCCTAGCCTGGGCACCCTTTTTACCTGTGTTGCTGAGCCAAGCTATTAAGCCTCCTCCAGCACATACACAGGCAGGGCCACACCCAACTGCGGAATGAAACAAACACTGAGATCAGTTCTGGAAAGGCTCCACTTAAGGGATTTGCCCAAGCACTCAGGTGTCTACCTCCCTTGGAGTGCAGACCCAAAGATATATTATGAAATCCGTCTCCTCCCGCAATGTGGAGGAAGATATGCACAGCCTCTTACCTTTCCCCCAATTATGAATTGTACACATGGGGTTATGTTATAAACAAGAAATAAGTGTATTAACTACAAAAGGTGAATTCTAAGTGAATATAAGCGATAACAGAACAAAGCCGATTACTGAGCAAATAAAACAAAATACGGAAGCTAAGCTCAATATACTTAAGAAACAGGTTACACAATGTAATTTCTTACCCGAAATGTTATTTTGGGCAGGTTGCAAAGTTTCTGTGGCTTAGAGTTCCAACTATATTTATTTTCAGACTGGACCCGTCTCAGTCTGGACTCCACCCTTGCCTTTCCTTCAGGTGTCTTTAGCAGTCTCTCTCTTCTTGGGCAGACCAGCCATGGGGAGGAGGAGCCCCCTTTGCCTCCCCCCCCCTTAAATAGGATTTACATAAGGTGGGAATCCTTTGTTTCCCAAACTTGATCCCCCTTCCCTTTCAGTGAAAAGTTACAAGAAGTCCCAGATAATGTTTAGTATCAAGTGACAAGACCAGCTGACCTAGTAGTGTCACAGTTACGTCCCCGGACACTTCCAGGAGGGACAGAGATTAGTATCTTCATGGTCTTGTTGTTCCTTCCTGATTGCCCATCAAATCTGATGGCCTGTAGTCTGGTGAGTGTCTTCCCATTCTTCCATTGGCTTAATAACTCCAGCTTCGTGAGGGGCAGTAGCTATGTCAGCAGGAGAAGCTCTCCTGCCGATATAGCGCTGTCTACCCAGGGGGTTAAGGTCGGTATAACTATGTGGATTTTTCATACCCTGTGTGACATAGTTATACCAAAGTAAGTGTGTAGGGTAGACCTGGCCTCAATGCTTGTAAAGAGCTTTTGAGATTCTTGAATGAAAGGTACAAGTGTTATAACTGTTGACTAATTATGTTATGCAGATATTTTTGAAGCAAAGCAGTCTCTATTTTTCCTCACAGGCCTGTTCTACACCTAAAACTTAGGTTGAGCTAGCTATGTCACTCACAACCCTGAGAGATGTAATTAAGCTGACCTAAGCCTCAGTGTAAACACCCCTAAGGTTGACAGAAGAATTCTTCTGACTTTGTTTTGCCCCAGTAAACAGCCTCTGTAAACCGTGCACCTGCCATCTCTGTCTGAAAGCATGGATCCTGAACAACTGACCAGTCTGGTGAAACAGAAAGTGAATCTGTGATGCCTGCCCTGCTGTATCCAATGGAAAGAAAAAATTCAAGATTACAGATGCACACAGTGGACCATCGGTACTGGGCTCGGGAAACAAGCACTGAGTGGTGGGGTTACATCATTATGCATGTATGGGATGATGAGCAGTGACTGCATAACTTTCAGATGCACAAAGCACCTTCCTGGAATTGTGTGCGGAGCTCACCCCTGCCCTGCAGCACAAGGACACCATAATGAGCTGCTCTTTCACTGGTGATCACTGTGTGGAAGCTGGCAACTACAGACTGCTACCGGTCAGTTGCGAATCAGTTTGGAGTTGGAAAGTCCACTGTGTAGGTTGTGGCGATGCAAGTGTGCAGGGCCATTAATTGCCTCCTGCTATGAAGGACTGTGACTCTGGGTAATGTGCAAAAAATAACTGACGGCTTTGCAGCAATGGGATTCCCTAACTACGGCGGGGCGCTAGATGGCATGCATATACCAATTTTGGCTCCAGACCATCTTGCAACACAGTACATCAACTGAAAGGGCTAATTCTCCGTGGCCTTGCAGACTCAGGTAGATCACCAAGGCCATTTCACTGACATCAATGCAGGTTGGTCACAGAAAGTTCATGATGCACACATCTTCAGGAACACTGGACTATACAGCAAGCTGCACGCTGGGACTTTCTTTCCAAACCAGAAGATTCCAATGGGGGATGTGCAAATTCACATAGTGATTCTGGGAGATCCCGCCTACCCCTTGCTCCCGTGGCTCATGAAGCCTTACACTGGGAACCTAGACAGCAGCAAGAAGCACTTCAACAACAGGCTAGGCAAGTGTCGAATGACCATTGAATGTGCATTGGGCAGATTAAAAGGTCACTGGTGCTGCTTTTTTGGCAGGTTAGATCTCAAGGAGGAAAATGTTCTGTTGGTCATAGCAACCTGCTGTGCTCTGCATAACATTTGCAAAGCAAAGGGGGAAAAGTTTCCTGATGTGTGGAGTACAGAGACGGATCATCAGGCTGCTGATTTTGAGCAGCTAGATACGAGGGCAATTAGAAGGGCTCAGCGGGTGGCTACTCAAATCAGAGAGGCTCTGAAGGAGCATTTTGACAATGAGCACCAGTAATGTGTCTCCATGTGATGCATTCAGACAGGCAATATTTACTTGCCACCTTAAATGACCCCTGTAATGCTTGCTTCCTGAGCCTTAATTACAGTGAGCAAATGTTCCCAGCTATAGCCCATATTCGAATTTTAGCAGAAACTACCATGTGCATGATACAAATAAAGACTCATTTTGTTTCAAATACTAGTTTTTATTTAAAGAATAAAACACATTTTGGTTGCAAATGGGGGACATGGCAATGAGGAGCAGTCGCTTGGTTCAGGTTCCCACAGTTGTGTGTAACTCCAGCTTTCATCATGAAACCAGTCTCTAGGGATGGATTGCAAGTGGTACTGCGACAGAATGGGAACATGCAAGGAATGTATTTGGGGAGTTTGGGAATGGCATGGAATGGCATTCTGTATTGGCTGCAGGGAGAGTTATGACAGATGTGCTCATACTGCAGTACTATGAAGGACTTGAGCATCTCTGTCTGTCCCTCCAAGTTTTATCATCTGTTCCTGCCCACATCTCCTTTCCAGGCTATCTAGTCTGAGTTTTTCATTAATTGTCTCCCTTCATGCTCTTGTTTTGCTGTGTGCTGCATCTGTTGATTGCAGCATTTCTCTAAACCAGCGGTTCTCAAACTGGGTCACAACCCTGTTTTAATGGGGTTGCCAGGGCTAGCTTAGATTTGCTGGGGTGTGGCGCTCAGTTACAGGTCCCCTTAGGTTTCAGCTTTGCCCCCTCCCACCCCACCCTGGGCAATGGGACTTGGGTAGGCTCAGGCTTCTGCCCCCCCTACTGTGGTCATGTAGTAATTTTTGTTGTCAGAAGGGGGTCACGGTGCAATGAAGTTTGAGAACCCCTGCTCTAAATATATCCTCCTTAGTCCTCCTTATCTGATTGAGATGCTCTGCCAGTGTGTAGGGGTTGGTCCTCAAGCAGTGGTGCTGGAACAATTTGTATTAGTATGGGTGCTTAGAGTCATTGAACCAGACTATAAATGCTGTACATGATGGAAACCACTTTAAGCCATGTGGCATGACAACACCCCCCACTCCCATAGTTCCAGCACCTATGTCCTCAAGGGCACATCTGCAGCAGCCAAAGAAACAATGAACAGAGATGGTATTGAAAGTGCATTCAAAGCCATGAATCACAAAAGTAACACACTCCTTTTTCTCACTGTCCCTTTGCTAGCACACAGCAAGAGTCCCAAATATGGTGAGTTCAGCTGGGGGGCGGGGGGGGGGGGCAGCAGAAGGGGTTGGGAAGGGGGAATGGGCAAGAAGGGACAAAGGGGCTGGGTAGTTTGGGAAGAGGGTCACTACATGTGCCTAGGGAGAATATTGGCACCATTTTCCACAGGCTCGGGTATTCGAACCTGATATCTCACTCCTAAGGGTAACCCAGGATGCAACTCCTGCATGCGTGCAGCTTCAGACCAAGTCCGTATGCTGCTTGTCTGTGTGCCGCCTTGGTCCCTGCAGAAACAATTGCTGGTTGGCACAGCAAAGATTCCTACAGTGAGGGGAGAAACAAGGGAGCTCTGCCAAGGAACCTTCGGCAGGGGATTGCTGAGTACCTACACGGAATTTCCTAGAGATGGAGGATTCCGGGACATTACATTAACAAACTTTTCCACCGGGCCCGCACTGCGTAGCTGCACAGGCTCTGTTAATTTCTATCTGTTATCCCTCCTCTACCATATAACAAAGTAAACGAGACCTCAATCTCCTATCACCATGCAGTATCGAAGCAAAATGCATGTTTACCAGAGTTTGTCTCTCCTGCTTCATGAGCATCAGAGCCAGAGGGTTGGGACTGGCTAGACCTCTCCAGCATCAGAAATAGGCCCTGGCTTGCCACACCACCGGATGACCCTGTCGCATGTCCCACATCCTCCTCCCAACTCCACTTCCTCTTTCACCTCTTCATCCTCAGGGTTGACTCCGCTGGCCACTGCCTCCGTCTCCCTGAACTATCCATGGGGCTCTTGGTGGTGGCAGTGAAGTCACCAGTGAGGATGGCATCCAGCTCCTTCAGTGCTGCACCAGAGAGACAGTTGGCCTCCCTTGCCTTCTGGTACGCCTGCCTAAGCTCTTTGATTTTAGCACTGCTTCATGTCCCTTTCAAGTCCCTTCTCCTGCATGGCACAAGCAATCTGCCCAAAGATCCTATGGCTTCAGCGAAGCTGCAACTACAAAGTCTCCTCTCCCCACAGATCCAGCAGACACAATAGCACCAGTGTACTCCATACTGGAGTGAATCCGTTGCGGAAAGCCGGTCAGCTGGATAGATACTGTGTGAACGGTCCATCTTTCTTATCTGTCTCCAGTGTGTAGAATGCTGCCATGACCTCTTGCCTGTGGTGGTTATGAACTCCCAGGCCTGTGCTCTGATTTCCTCTCTCTCTGATTCCTTTGTTCCCAGCACCATTCTTCCTTGAACCTGGGGTACTGGTATTTCCCAAACATGGCTTCTCTGATTCTTAGTAGTGTTTCCACTTGCCCCTCCAATCCAAGAATCTTTTCCTCCAGCACAGCCACCAACCTGCACTTCTGCACACTTTCTGTGTTGAGGCAGGAGAGAGAACACATCACATCCATTGCAAGCCACCACCATTGTTCCATTGCTGGCCATCTTGGTATCACATGTAGTGTTGAACCTGAAAGGAAAGCTTATTATACTCCCTGTCTCGACTTTCTCCAAAACGCCTCTTGTCTGATAACAGAATCAGAGAAACTAGATATATATTTTTAAAAATTCCTGAACAATAACCCCAGATCCTTCAGGTAACTGAAATGGAAATTAGAAACCCAAATACCTTTGAGGATCTGGGTCATAGTTCATTGCCCATTCAATATATTCTCCAGTGTGTTGGTCAGCCTCACATTAAATTATTCAGATGACGATAAGGAGCCTGATCCTCAACAGGCATAAATCAGTATAGGGGATAGATCTCCTCTTCCCTTGCCACCTGGGGTACAATTCCTAGCTACTACAGGAGTTTGCTGTGAATGCAGTTCAGCAAGAGAGGTAGAAGAGGAAGCAGAGAAGTGAAAATGCAGTCCTAGAAACTTGACTGGTCTTTCCTAGGAACTGGTTGAAGGCTGTGGAACTCCTGCAAGCATTGCCTCTTTCCAATCCAAGTTCAGGGCACACTGCTTTGACCTTGTCTTACACACACACAATTTTTTTTTAAATCACAATTTTCCCTGAAGAGAGAGAGAAGAAAAAAGGAGAAAAAAATCACGTGACAAATGCTAGTCATATCACTTAATGCGCTGCTGGAAGGTGCTCAGATATTACTGATGAGGGTAGTAGCAGAACATGAATGAAATAGAATAAAGAGGTGAAAGCAAATCCAGTGAAAACCAACCTCTCATTCTGAGTTCTTGCCTTAGAGTGGATTGAAGCATTGGTATGTGCCCTTGGCTAGAATCTAGGAGGCCAAAGGTTAGGAATGAGCAAATGTTTTCACTATCCAAAAAAGTGCCTCTCCTTAGATTTTGGTTTATAAGATAAAGTCATATTTGTGGGCTATACATTTATTTCTAAAATCTCATAGTATTTGGAAAAATCAGGTTGTGCCTGCTCTGCAAAATATCTAAGGGAGCTTAATGAAGGCATCCAGAGACTGGAAAACAGAATTAAAAGTGGCAATTCAACCATTAAAACCTGCTTTGGGATGGAGGAAGAGAAAAGAAAAAAGAAAAGAAAACTAAACTTACTTCTCTTCCCATCTTGCATAGTCAAAATGTCATGCAGCAATTTATTTTCTTTTCTATAAAGTACTTTTATTAAACCTCTTTTTATTGAAAGGGTTTTTGTTGTTGTTTTTTTGCTGCTCAGATAGACTTTACCTTCTCATATATAGATAGATAGACACACACACACACACAAATCAATAAATTTTTCACTTCTGATCAGAATAGTTCATTTCAAATTCTCAATTCATTTTTGATGTTACTGTATAAAGACAGAAATATCAGGACCCTGAATTTCAGTGCAAATGCTCCCAAAGAAAGTTTGCATTAATAATCAAAAAGTCCCAGAAACAGTCCCCAAACACTATGTACCTTTTTTCTGTGGCTTTTTTATTTTATTTTTAGTTTTGCTGAAACTTTAAAATAACTCAGTAGCTTTTGCCTAGGAAAAATTATACACAGTATATTTTGGAACCACCAGTATAAAATAACACT